CATTTCAAAGACCATTTAACCTTATATATTTTAATATTACATTTAAACACATAATTTATATCCTTAAAAGGTATGTTAAGTTCACCTATATCATACTTAAAATTTCATTAAAGAAATTATCAAAATAATCTCTACAGCGCTTCTTAATCTTATTATCCTTCATTAAAATTTTTTCATCACTACCTTTGATGCATCTAATGCCATTAAGATCCTTATTCTTCTTATCCCTCATCTTAATAGTTTTAAACAACTTTTTTTCGTTATCTCTTGTCTCTAGTTTTTTATATAATTCTTCATGGATCCTAGTATTTGAATCTCGAATAACCTTTTTGGCTTTCTTTGTTGAGGTCTTATACTTTAAATAACTCGTCTCATCCTCATTACTCTTTAAATTCCTAAAACATTCTCGTTTAGCTTTAATTTTTATTTTCACATTCTTATTCCACCACTAAAATTCCTTTTCTAATGGTGCATGACCCTTAGATTCATCAAGTGTCTCTTTAGCAACCATCGAAATTTTGTTAGAAATTTTTTTCACATTACTTCTACATCCCTATCAGACTTTCAATCAATCTTTTTTACTAGTCTATCTCTAAAAGCTAACATTTTATCCCTTTTTAAGTTTCACCACTTAATACATGACTCATGACTTTGATGTGTCTTTTTTTACTTTTAGAGCAGAAAAATATTTAGAACTAGCAGTCTATGTTGTGTTGTCACACTCTTACTTGGTATAACCTTGCAATCCTTATAGTTACTTCTATCCTCTTTTCTCTTAAAAAAGAAATCAATTTGACAAGTGTTTGACCATACCCAAATGTCACCAAATGTGATTCTCCTTTCCTAAAATACAAGTTTAATATAGTTAGGTCAGATGTAATAGCAAACTCTAGAATATTTTTCCATGTATCGATTTTTTCTTCAAAGTTATATCCTCTTGCACCTTCTCAAAGTCACTATAATCATTGCCTATGTGACCATTCATATCTCATCTAATAAACAACTTTTTTTTGTTTGGTATGAATTGTACTATCTCATATAAATCTTCATAAAATCTTATAGTTTTCTCTCATAATATAAGTTTAATATGTAAAATTTTATCTCCCTTTCTTTTAACCTCAACCACATCATCTTTCAAATTTTTATCTACAATTATCTCTACTTCATTTCTACTCATCTGGTACCTATGTACCAAAGCTTAGAGCCTCATGTTTCTATCTCTATAACCTTTTACCCTACCCACTTAATTTCTTGGGACATAATATTAATTTCTTCCTATTTCTATTAGCTTAGCAGTTAACGATCATATATTCCAAATAACTAACTGTAACTTACCCCCATAGACTAGATTCTTTACTCATGTTAGTCTATTAAAACAAGAGAACTCTTACCTATTTGACACCACATCTGGGCAGTTAAATGGTGCATCACTTTCAAGCGATGATCTAACAACCATTGCCTATTTAACACTAAACCCAAGTTTTGATGTAGCGCACCAGTAGAAGGTGACGACCTAATGAAAATTCATATTTTAGTATCTTATCATGATTTGACTATATTTTACATTGGTTGTCATCCTATCACAACCCTTTTTGCTTTATCCGGGCTTGGAATTGGTAGTGTAATAACACACAGGCGAAGTTTTTAATGGATAACAACATATAAATAAAATTTAAGTGTATTTATTTTTTAAATATAAATTATAACTTAATTCTATATTAATATAGTTTTTTATTAAATTACAATACTAAATAATATCTTTATTAATATAATACATATATATAAATATAAATTAAAAATAATTAAATATATTATTTTATATATCTTGAAGAAAGTCAAATAGAGCACCCCAGACACAATCTCAACTTGACACAAATTATACAATGAGGCAAAACTTAACCATCCATATTTTTAAAAAAAATCACATCAATTGGATTACGGTGAATCGAGACCTATCAGATATAAGTTGCTTTGTCATCCTTACATCTATTGACTTTTTCTTTATAAAATTTATCTAATAAATAAAATTTTAAAAAACAAAGAAAATGACAAACAAAAAAACTAAATGGGATAGTAAGTGAATTTATTAATTTAAGGTATTAAATAATTTTTTAATAAAATACAATATATAAATATAAAATTAAATGAATATATAATTTTTTGTATACCAAGGCCAAGGCGTAATACTTAAAATCTTACTCTTACCCAAGTTCGATTTAAAATAACTCAATCCAAATTATCCCAAATTAAAAAAAAAAAAAAAAAACACACCATCATATATGGGTTATTTTGTCATCTCTGTCTCAATTGATTTTTTTATTGCAAAATTAATCTAATGAAAAGCAAAATTAAAAAAAAATGCAAAAATGCAAAAGCTTTAAAAGAAACAAAAAGATTAAAAAAAAAAAAATGAGAGAGCTGTCATGTGAACACTCAAATCGATATAGAACACCTTAAATTCATCTCCAACTAGATTTCATTTTTCTAAAAAAGAAAAAAACCTTTGATCAGATTTCAATTTTTTAAAAAAATCATAATTATATTGGATTCTTACAAATCACAATTAATTTATAGATTATTTTATCATCTTTACCTCTATTATTTTCTTTACAAAATTTATCTAATAAAAAAATAAAAATTAAAAGCAAATAAAAAGTTAAAAATAATATAACAATATAATAAAAACAAAAAATATAAAAATATAAAAAAGTAAAGAATGGAGGAAGGATAGGGTGTCACGTGAACACGTTCTCCTTCCCTATTCTCTACAAAATTAAGCACATTTTAGTTTTGTAAAAGCAAATTGTCATTAGTCTATATTGTTTGTGGAATTTTATCATTCTACAATTAAAATAAGGAAAATGTTATATTCAATCCTTAAAAACAAATAGTATTTTTTAACTTCAAAAAAAAAAAAAACCCACCACTTACTTACAAAATACGCTTTAACATTTTTTGGCCAATAATAACCTTTAAAAAGTGTTTTTTTAAAAAATTTTTAACTGTGTATGTAGAGTCCCCTTTAAATAATGAATATATATCTAAATTATTGTAGACATGTGATGATTTAATTGAAATATCTAAAAAATATACATATAATAATAAAATATTATGAATATAAAGATAATATAATAATTTTTTATTTTAAACCTATTTTTTAAATTTAAAAATATCTTATGAAGAATTTTTTGGTTTGAGTATGAAAATTATACTTTAAGACTGAAACAATTTTTTATTTGGCACTGAAGTTGAATCAAAAGTAGATATTAAACGCAAAAGGTTCTTTTCAACAACAATACTAAATTAAGATGGAAGAATGTGTTTAATGTATAAAATTATTATCAGATAAATAAAATAATATTATAAATAAAATTAAATTAATTAATATTTTTTTTATTTTTTATTTTTTATTTATATTTAATGTATACAAAAATTAACATAAAATAATTTATTTATTGATCAAAATTATTTTTATTTAATTTATATAATTTAAATTATTAATATAATTTTTAAAAATATTATAAGATATATAAATTTAATCTCATAGATTCAAATAATCCTCATTTTTTTAAAAAGATTAAATTATCTCATATTAAAAAGATGATTAATTCTTATAATCATCTCTTTCTTTAAATATAAATCAAATATAATATAAAATGATTATTTTCTCGTCCTATCCATCATTCTTTGCACAAAACATGACCTTATAATCTTATCATATTAATCATCCATCCTAGTACCATACATAACATAAAGGTCTTTGCTATAGTTGAATGCTTACCTTCGTATCACATTCCAGACATATCAAGAAAAGATTGTAAGGTGTTGGGTTTATATATAGGATTTACACATATACATTAATCCTTCCAGCTTCTTCAGGTCTTCATCATTCTGTCAGAATAATAATTTAACAATGCTATGCGATACATGATTACATTGCATTACATCTCTCCTTTCATTGTTCAACTGTGTCGGCGACCGTATAAGAGGTGGCATGCATGCAGCAATATTTTCAGTCATGAGGTTTCTGCACCATCTGAAACGAGTGTCAGAAGGTTGAATTCGCGCTCTAGGCTCCATGAAGACTCGTTCTGATTGTTGATACTGAAGGCGTATTCCTGAAAGTACCCGTTGTATGCTATCAAGGATACCACGGCCCTAGAGAATGCAAAGCAGAAATAACTAGAGTAAATCCAAAAACCAAGTTAAATTGATGCAACTTTAACACGTGCAACCGTAACCTAATATCCATCCATGGGTGCACTCCATATACTGTCAATTACCCAACCAATTGCAACGCTACTTTTTTACATCCAAATCCTAATATTCCCATACAAATGCACTCTTAGACTCCCTTAGAGAAATTTGTACCACCTATTCCTTTCTCATTAGCACGATTTTAATGTCATGATAGCAATTAGGAAAGGAAGCCGTTAACTTTCCTACCATTTGGTTGCCATAAGAACAAATGGCATGAAGCAGGTAAAACAAGATGCAAGAAAATTTAACTATTAACTGCTTTTTCCATGAATTTACACCAAAAAAAAAAAAAGCACTCTTGACGAAAAGTGATCAAATGGTTCTGTCATACTCAAATGCAGAAGAGACACCATAACATAACATTCTATATCAGAATTCAATAGAATTCATAAAGATCGTAACTTCTATTAATCCATCATCCATATATATAAAACAGGTAAAAATAGTTATCCACATTATAAAACCGCAAGTAGAAGAGAACACATGAAAATGAATGCAAAAAATAGAGAACATAATACAAGTTTGAAGCCGAGACACATCCAAGAACTGACCTACAAGTTGCAAATTCGGGTGAATCAGCAGCTTTGTCTACCTTGCGAACCACTGCATAGCTGCATTAGAACAATGCTCCTTTAGCACATTTGTTGTGGATGGTCATCTAGTCAAAATCATATTTCATCTGGACATGTCAAACACAAGTTTGTGTTTCCTATATTCATGAACCTATATTGTATAGATAATTTAATAATAAACAAATAAATAATATTGATAACTCTTTCTAGATTAAAGCTAATCAGAATATTTCTCTGCTAAGGCACTTGAACAGATTTGTGTAACATCATAGTCTAGTTCTCCCCCATATACATGTTTAGCCGTTGATAACAAAATAAATGCCTCATCAAGAATTTAAACGTTAGAAGGGTCAATTTAATGAATTTCATCTTCTGTGGCAAGTAACCAAGCATATTTAAGGATGGTTCTACAGCAAAGAAGGTAAAGGTAAATTAGTTTTAAACGTAAGCACCCTATCGGAATTTAAACAACTTCAAGAGTTACTTAGGCTAATATGGATCAGCAAGTTGCCACCAGTGAAGCTTGTTTTCTTTTGTGCTAATGAGCTAATAAATTCATTAAATAAGTTATATAATGATAATGCTTTACCTTCTGACTCCTGCAGAAACAGCATTGTGAAGCACATGACGGTGAGCAGGATCTAGTGCATGATTCACATAATCAGGTAATATTAATCCAGGAAAACTAATTGACTTTTTACTCCTGCTAAGAGTTACAAATTTGAGAAAGAAGGTCAATTAACTCAATAATCATTCATATGGATTTATGGGCAGACAGATGCAATGACAAAAAAGACTACTTAAAACTAGTGTAAGAAGGAACTTCAGTTGGTTTGGAAAAATACGACGATTTTTATGACCCTTACATTTCTGATGATCACAGAGAGCTACCCTGAGGTTCGCAAAATTACAATGGTCTCCTCTCAGGCTCGTTTAAACTGTCATAGACCCAATTTAATTACACAAGCTGTAAGATGAAGTAAAATGTATCTAATGGCTCCCGAATATTCAATAAACTAAAAGTTTTCCAGAAATATAGAGAAAGAAGGCAGAACCTATTCTTCCCACAGACACAATATTCATGACAAGAACATATGACCTTCAAGTGGTCAAACAAGGGTAAAAATATCCTTCAAACCTATTAACCTCTATTTTGAGATGCACAAGAGTACCAGATAAAAGGTGTATGATTGTCTATTCAAATCCCAAGGGTCTCTCTCTGATTGTAAGCATTGGTTATACTAAAAAGTTAAACATACATATAAAAAGAGCAAAAGCACAAAAGGATTCAAACTGAAAAACCAACAAGAGAGACATTTTCACCAACAAAGGGAAATCTAAAAATAAAGGACAACAGAGCTCCATCATATGCAAAATGTTATATGTCAATAAAAAATACTGCACAGTATATATATCATGTGTTTCACCAACAAAGGGCAATCTCAAAATAAAGGACAACAGAGTTCCATCATATGCAAAATGTTATATGTCAATAAAAAAAAACTGCACAGTATATATATCATGTATATATTGTAGAAAAAATATTTCTTATATAACAAAATAACCACTGCCCATGCTAATAAAAGGTGAAAGAATGCTGTATGTTTTAACTTATTTTATAACATAGGTACTTTAAATGTTGATTGTCAGAAATATTTTTCAGTGTACACCAGAAAGAGATTTTATTTGTAGTCCTCACCTCTGATTTGTATCAAACCCCAGAGAGAAGATGTGAACAGAACCTGATGAACTTGTGGCTGCAAGAATATCTGGAAGTTGCAATGATGGTGCAAATGACAATGAAAATATGGTTGATGGGTATGTTCCCCTCCGGAAACTATATGACTGAGAAAACAAAGGATGGTTGGATTCCATATATGAAGTTAAAATTTGAGTGGACATAAATACTAACGGCATGCTGCTTCAAGGAGTTCCGTTTATTACAAGTCAAAAAGAAAAGGAAAGCTAATGATCACTCATCATAAGTAACATAAAATGACTGCATGGCACTATAGCAAGCACTCTCCTACAATTTGATCAGTAAATTTAAGAGATTAAAATAGAATATTAATTTGATTCCAATCTAAAAACAACTCATAACCTGTTTATGCTTTTACTCATAAAATTGATATAGCTCTTTCAAGTATAAAATCAATTAAGATTGATTAAATTGTTTTCTCTAACTGTTACAAACTAAGCAATCAGTAAGGACCATCGCTTCAAATGTGTGTGTGTATATGTATACATACATATGTTTGTGCGTGTGTTTGTGTGTGTATGTATACATATGTATGTATTCTGCATGCATCTGCCAACAAACAGGCACCACACTGACTTTTGGTTTGACTCTTAATTCTTTGTTCAGACCCTTCTCATTCCTTGTCCTTACTTTGACTCAAAACAACTTGAAGGTTTCATGATCAACTTTGTCTTTGCAATTCTGCAGCATAAGGACATCATTTAATGTCAAGTTTACTTTCTATTTTTTCAGCAACAAGAGATAATTGTGCCTTTAACAGCCTGCATTTACTAATGCGTCTAGTACCAAAGGCACACTTCATATATCAGTCAGATCAAATGCATGAAGTGCAACTATGTACCTTAGTTGCTTCTGAAACGAGATGAACTCTGATTATGGTTCCCTGTTCAGATGCTGTTGCAATGTATGTCCCATTGGAAGATAAAGCAATTGCAGCCAAAGGAGACCGGTGGGCATCTATCTACAATTAATTCAATAAATGCAAAATTAAAAAGTGATCGATGTAAAGGATTAAATAGCTCAAAGAATAAACAGCAGAATTACATCACTTCCATATAAGGGCAATCATATAAATGTCAAGGCAATATTAAACAACAGACAAATTGATATGAATAGAAAAGGTCATTCCCTGCCAAAGGAAGGTTAACGGCTGCAATACCCAAACAAAAAACTTTCAGCTCCTAAAATTATTGATTTCTCAGTCATAAGAGGTAAATACAAAGAAATCGCTGATACGGGAAGGGTAACTACTAAAAATAGAAGCCAATGCTTGAGCTATCCTTCCTTGTTCATATTTTATGTTGGCAGAACCTGCCTAACTTTTCTTAAAAAAAAATGTTTTCATACTTTAAACACTCTGCACATGACAGCTAGTACATCTAATGTTTTTATAGAAAAATACACAAGAATAGTATCACATTAGATGCACCAGGTCTATGAAGTTACTGTTGTTGGGGATAAGAAGCAGAAAATAATGCAGAACATTATTTTGTGAATAAAATATATTTATCAGAAAATCCAAAAAATATGTGGCTAATCAAATGACGCGTAAATACTCCCCTCAAGTTGACAGACAGAGTGAATCAACTTAATTACTCTGAGTTTAAAACCTTAACTGTTTTCTATATCATAAGTGCACTTTCTAGCAGACAAGAAATATTTAATCCAGTATGACAACAATGCATCCAGGAGTCCTGATTTGCTAAATAGTGATATTCATTTTAATTTGATGAGAAACTTTTCTGTCACAACCTCGCAATGCGACTGGAGCTCCATGACATTGTACACTAATACAGCTCCTTTAGTTGTACTGGCAGGAAGAGCCAAGAAGCAACCATCCAAACTAGGGGAGAATGCACAAAGTCCTGAAGGAAGAAAATTACAAAAAAAAAAAAAACCCTCAGGAAATCAAACAACAAAAATGCTTTTAGTTCAGTAGTATTTACATAACTCACAATGCCTTCTCAGTTACCCCAATTGTACCAATTTCAATTTCATAATTAACTATCAACTATTGCCCTTCCAGATAGAGAGCTTACAACTTTTGCATAGACTAGCTGCTCTCCCTCCTCTTCAAAAGCACAAATATGCATGGTGATTGATGATTAAAAATATAATACTCTAACACATGTTTGTGTTTCCCTAACTTCTTATTTGAGAACATTCTATAATCCCTTTCCTATTTCAATGCCAGTCAGTAATATCCATATGAGATTTGAGTCATTAACTGAAAGGAGATCAAAAAATAATAAGTGAATAATTTTAAAGGACTGAAATAACCTAACTACAAGTGAACTTTTGTATATCTCAGTGTGGAAAAATAGTCATGATCTCTTGCAACAAGTTACTGCATTAAGAAACAATTCAAACCTAAATCTTATCCGACATAACTCTCCCCAAAGAAGTTCAGCTAAAAAGGAGAAGAAAAGAAATTACACTTTGGCTATAAGCATATCCATTTGCATAGTAAGGAGGATGGAAACATTTTCAATCCAATGACAACTTTCATAACCTCCTTCCCACTTTATATAGCAGCACCATTGGATTTGAAACTTTTCCATCCACCCTACCAAGCAAAACATAAATAGATCAGACACATTAAACAACCCTTAAGGATCTTTAGATAAAGCACCAAAGATACAAACTGCCTCAAATGTGGCAATATAACTAGGATTCCACTGCACAACAATTGCAACATGCAATCATATTTCATAAAGCAACTCACACCCTAGTGGTCTCTGCCATATGTTATAACTATTGTTTCGTTAACTCACTTCCAGAAACCAGTAAGCACCAAAAGAATTCTGCGTTGAAGTCAGTTTGCAAGAGAATCTTTGATTCAAACTGTACTCATCCTCAATAAAACCTCCTAAAACTTGAGTCAATTAGATTGCCAACGAAAATGGAATTAACTTCTTTGGTTTGCATGGTATCATACAAATTCATCACATGGAATCCAGATCATCTATGAAATGGCAGAAATTTAAAACTTGCACGGACGTACCTATTCAATGGTCAAAGGAGTCCCCCTCTCACTCCAATTTTTTGGATACCTCCAACTACGAAAATCTTAATTATCCTCTTTCCATTTTTCCATTTCATGTTTAACCAATCAAGTGGAAAATCAACTTCTCAATAAGTATTTAAGAATGAGTAAGAAACCATGAAAAGGTATTAGAAATTTAAAACCTTATAAGAAGCTATTTTTCTAACAGCAAAGTATTCCTTCAGTTCCATACCCTTTCATATGACTTACTCATTTAAGAGAATCTAAGATAAAACATGGTCTTAAAAGTACTACTAGAAGTCATATATGCATCATACAAATACTAGGATCAAGCAGTTTTTGAGGTTAAAGTGGGAAACTGGTGTAACTAAAAATGTCCTGCTTGAAAGATAGCAGAAGGCACCTTATATATAGAAGAAACACATTCTACCTTACCCTTTAAATTTGGCACGGTATCAATGGTATCCAACATTGCAAGACTGTTTGAGTCATATATGTAGGTGTTTTCTTGCAAAACCACAAGAAGTCTGCAATTATACAAATTAAGTATCATTAAAAGTGGGAGATAATCATATCCAATGGACTAGTGTAGTTTTAACATGATGCCAGAGACTAACGTGCAAACCTGAGTGAAATTAAGTATGACTAAATGAATTCAAAATGGAAATCACAACAATAGCATAAAGCCTAAAAGGCTGACTCGATCTTGGAGACATACATAATGGAAACATGTGGCAAGAACCAAAATGAAAATGGATTAAATTATTGAAGAAAAAACTTCTTTTTGCAACGAGATTTTTTGCTTGTTTCAATATCTGTATTAAACCCAATTTCTCCAGAAACTTGTAATTTCATTTGCAAACTTAAATAAACTCCCTTCAAAACTGCTGTTAATAAATACTAGTGCATAGCATTCCGCAAGAAAGATTCTCTAGAGCCACCGACACAGTAATATATCAATAAAATGTATTCACAAATATCCTCAGACTTTGACTTTACAAATATTAGAGAACAGGAAGAAAGTTGTTGTCCAAGAAACAAGATAATTTCTAGCCCTGACAAAATGAAGACACCAACAAAAGTAACATGGTCCTATCATGGAAGGGAACAAAACCCTCTTCAAGGCCACAATCATGATCAAATCTTTATTTTTAGTTTAATTATACTAATAACAATTCTTTCAGCAATTCAAAAGCTCTACAGGCACTCAAAAGAAGAGCTAAAATGGAGATTACTTTAAAGTGTATTTATGAAACTTCTGGGCTAATGTTAGTGAATTAATTTACTTTATGTCCATTATCTATCTATTAATCCATCATATATAACATGGAAACAATACTATCTGATGATCCTTAGTGCACTGATTTCATCTCCTTCTGAACCAATTCTAGCAGAAGTAATTGGTCTTAGCACCTTCTATGAAATGTGGACAGCAGTGGAATGACTGTTCTCCTCTCAATCAAATGCCTGAATCATGCAAATAAGGAATGAATTGGCCACAAGAAAAAAAGGTAACCTCTCCATTTCTGATTATTTCTAGAAAATCAAAGGCTTAGCTGAAAGACTTGCTGCCATTAAGCAACCATGATAAGACTCTCTTCTATTTATACTAGTTATAAGTTTACATGATAAGGATGTAAAAGGATAGGCTGAAGAATACAAGTATATAAGATAAAATACTATATCAGATTGCAGTAAGCAGAATTAATCTTTATCAGATGAGGTGATGAGCCCTGCTTGTACTCTATCATAAACTTGGTAATTTAAAACATGACACAATGACATAATACGAAAACGATATTAAAAAAAAAAAAACATAAGTGACACGGTTTAAAATTTTAACAAAAATCATATATGGGTTTAATAAAAACCCAAAAAATGTATTTCATGCTTTCCATGTCGACACAAATTGTGACACGCAATGTTCATGTAAAATACAACACATACAATAATTACCAATAATTTACATGACAAAAATACACGAATATCATTATCTTCAACACTACTGCTATCCTAGCAAACTAATCTAGATGTACTTGAGATTCTTTGCTTCCTTATCCAAAGATACCAGTATCTCAGAGCACATATATATGAGTCGTGGTCCCATTTCTCTTCCAAAAATAAACTAGTAATGCTCCGATAACAAGGTCTAAGGCAAGACATATAACATGAATTCTCTTGCCAAACTCAGGAAAGCAACAATTGCCATTATGTCACCAATAAAGAGCCTCACAACAACTCAGAAAGCATTTAGAACAAAATCCATTCAATGTAAGAAGGGGAAAGCTCTCCAACCAGTAATTAGGTCACTCCTCGCAGATGTCACTGTCCTGACTTGCATCTATGTACAATTACACATTTAAATTAAAAGTTTAAATCGAACTATATCTACCAGTCAAAACCATTTTGATTCCATACTAAAAGGAATGAAGAATTTGCAGTAGAAATTCAAAATAAATAAATTATGGAGCTTTGAACTGCTAATCTTTTAAGGTAAAGACGGTCTTTTTACCTTTTCCTATTTAAGCGAACAGCAAGAATCGAAGTAAGAAAAGGCAGTTCACGGAGAGGAGCACCGGTTGCTGTATTGAACAAACAGAGACGACGTGGAGATAAAGATGGCTGTAACAGTTCAGTAATTCATCAGCAGCAAGAAAATATAGTAAAAATAATAACAATAATCTCAATTTAATTATAATAGAAATCACTGCAAAAAGAATTATTAACAAAATAAAGGATAAATTTGTGAAGCACCTGTTCACCGGCTCCAACAATGGCGAGAAGACTAGAACTATACAGCATTTCAACAATAATGAAAGCTCCAAAGGCTATCCAAATAAATCAAAATAAAATAAAATAAAAAAAATCAATTATTTCAACTAAAGCTTCAATCAAATTTGGCTCATGCGAATAATAGCGAAAAAAATAAGAAAATTAAAAATAAAATTTGCGAAATTAACTCACATCGTTCGTAGCAGAGCCTTCCGGTGTTTGAATCGAATATTTTGAAACCATCTTTAGTGCTTATTGCAAAACCACTGCCAAATTGAAATCAAAAAAAGAATAATCTATCAAAAAAAGCGCTTCGTTTAAGCTATAAATATTTACTTTATTGCAAAATTAAACGAAAAAAAAAAAAAACACTAGGAATTTTTAAATTAAAATTTACCTGTTGTCTTGATTGAAGGATGCGCATAGGATGGGGCAAGAGGAGGACTGATTGGCCATTATGAAAATTGTTGCTAACCGTGGAAGGAATTTCGAAAACCTTTCATCAAAAACGCATATAATTTGTTCTTTCTTTTAAAGTAAATCGAAATCAAGATGTAGGATGGAATCAAGGCGGCTGTAAGTGTGTGTCCCTGTTTCCATCATCTCTCAACCTCAACCGTTAATGCCAGATCTGACCATTGACTTGATTAGATCAAGGGAAGTCATCATTATGCCACGTCAGTACCTTAAAGTGGGTCCAACGTGATACTTGTCAGGTTTCATCCAACAATGGCTTAGAAGCCGGATATTAAGCTTTAGTTAAGAATTTGGAAGAGAGCCTTCCAGCTGGCGAAGCTGGTTGAATCTAAAAGTCTATTCGAATTGATTTGTTATCGAATTTGGGTTTATTTAAATTGATAAAAAAATCAAATATCGAAATTTGAAAAAATGCAATATAAAAAAAGTGATATCTAAAAGTTTAAAATTGACGAAACTTGAATTTGTTATGATTCAATTTTGAAATGATTAAAAGTCGATTCATTTTTGTAATTCCTAAAATTTCAAATTATTATATGAAAAAAATCAAATTGTATTTACATGATTTTATTTTCTAAAAAGAAATAAATAAATAAATGACAAACATTTTTTAATTAAATATTTTTAAAATGTAATTGTTTATAATTATTAAATAATTATACTAATAATTTATTATCAACAAAATTAAGATTTAATCTTTAAATTCGATTATGAAATAAAATTAATTTTGAAACACACTAAATATAAATATTAAATGATTTTTAATATTATCCTTTATTTTATTTAGAAAAATTATTTAAAAAATAATATCATTAATTTAAATTTTGATTTTATTATAAAAATAATCGTTTACAATATATTATTGATTTATTATACTTAAAAATAAAAATAGTTTATATAAATATTTAATGTGCTTTTATTTGTAATTTATTGAGCCCTTTAAATGATTTTCATCTAGCCCAATGATTTTTTTACTTTTTTTTTATATATTAAACTTATATATTTGTTTAGCTTTTATTTAAATTTATAAGATATAATAAAAATAATCGATAATATTTAAATACAAAATTATTATATAATGTATATTTATATAGTTATCATTTTCAAAATTTTAATTTTAGTATTTCTGTCATATTTTTATTTAATTATGTAACAAGTGAAATTAATTATTACATTTGCAATTAAAAAACTAGTCATATAACTTATAAAATTACAAAATTATTCTAATTTGTCTAAACCCGCCCAATGCAAACCGAACAAAATTTGAATTATTTTTTTAATACATTCGCATCACTATTTACATGTTTACTTGATTCAAACATAAATTATAAACATATATATAGTAATTAAAGATATTATTATGAAACGTAACCGATTAAGCAAAACTCTAAAATAATATCTCTTTAATACATTCATATTATTATTTACATTGAAATGTATAGGATGCAAACATCTAAATAGGAATCGTGGAGTGAGACTCTAAAATAATATCACTATTTAATTTTTTGGTACAAATGAGTTCATAATTAAGAAATAAGGAAAGAAATTGTAAATATTTTAATTTACGTGTTGGATATGTGATTGCAAATTTTGGATTTAAGCATAAAAAATGTAGTTTGAGCTTTTATAAACATGATTAAATTATATTTTTTCTTTTTTAATTTTGATTAAGAAAACTTATCCAAACCCAGCTTTTCAAAATATCATTGAATCAAATATCAAAAACATTACATATCATATTTGAGATAAAAATATATATATACATATATTGCGTCCAAGTCACGGGTGAGAAAAAAAATCAAAAATCTAAAAATTGATTTGAAATCATAATATTTAGTTCGGATTGAATTTTTTTTTATTTAATTCAGATCAAGTTTGAATATTAAATATATATTAGGTTCATATTAAATTTTGAATCGAAAGATGAAAAATCGAAAAAAAATCGAATCAAACCAAATTATATATATATTTTAATTTTTATAAAATAAAAATAATAATTTTATATCTACTTAAATATATTAAAGCAATATATAAAAATTAAAAATCGATAAATAAAACTAAATTGAACCGATAAAATTTAATTTAAATCAAATAAATATTTTATTCAAATTTAAATTGAATTTAAAATTTTTATAATATTAAATAATATTAAAAAAATCGAATCAAATCTGATCCAAACCGTTATCACCCCTACTCAAAGCAACCATTTCTATGATTCATATTTCCTTCATACGTTGTACAATGAAATACAAGGACACCACAAATGCGTTTACAAAAATTGCCAATGTGCACATTCATGTAACAATTCCAACTCGAAAATTTTGAAATCTCGAAAAGAAACAAAAGGACTAAAATACAATAAGCCTTGGACTTTTATGAAGGCTAGTGAAGTTAACTTCAAAACCTACCAAAATAAGTTGGTGGAAAAACATAAAAGTTAGAAACCAATCACAAATTAAAGACAATATATAGGAAATCCAATGCAGATGTGTTAATGTAATTTTTGGTTGGATGGGCAAGGAGATTGTTGAAAGTTAAGTAAGACAGCAGATCTAATTTGTCACAATGAGAAAAATCATGCAGGAGATAGTATTACAAGTTGTACTTCAACACTCGAATCAGTAATTTTTGAAAGACCAAAAAGAGAGAGCCAACAACAAGCGCGTGATTCTGCTAAAGCGTCCAAAGACAGAGGCTCAAACTCGCAGCAAGTACCTTTCACTTTCACAGCTCCAAAATATTGCAAATATAGTTCTTTCTCTTTTTATTTAGTCAAAACTGTCAAAATCGTTCTGTGTTTGAGCCTCTGTCTCAGACTTGGGAGCAGAGCATCTGATGCTGTTTCTCTCCAAGTCTTATCCCCTGTCTAAAACCCTATACTATACAACCCCTACTGTGCTCATTGCACCTTTCCCCATTTTTTTCCATTTGGCAGAAAAAAAAATCAAAGCCAAAAAAAAAAAAACAAATAAAATAGTAGGGATATTTACATTACAACCCCAGAACAATATGAACTTGACATCAAAGTCTTTAAACACAAGGCTAACACCTATTTCCTTTTTTGAAACAAATGTAACTTGTGTAGAATTTAATAAAGAATTCATCCTATATATATATATATATATATATATATATTTCACTTCACCTATTTTTCATTTTGAATCTTATCTTGGACCAGAAAGTTCCATGGCATAGGAATCCAAAGAATGTTCATCATCATCCTCATCCATTCCTGTGCCGAACATGTTGAACGATTGATCATGATTTCTTTCATCATGTTTCGATCCAGTGGTAGGGCGTGGCATACTTTTGTTACTGAAGTTTTTAGGGTTGAGGTTCATGGTGGGATTACTATGATTATGCGATGCTGCCCATTTCTCAGCAAGCCCATCACCTTCGAGCATCCGGAGCACTTCGGACATTTTAGGGCGGTGGGCCGGAAGGTACTGAGTGCATAGCAAAGCCACTTGCAGCATCTCCCCCACTTCAATCCTGTCATAGTTGCTTCCTAGCTCTCTGTCCATCAATACTTCCACTTTCTTTTCTTGCTGAATTTTCTTAACCTGTCAGAACAAATGGCAAATGTTTCTCCATCAACTTTCTTCATATATATTTCTTTTTATGCTCTTGGCTGATTCCAACTTATTATTTTGAAAAACAATTAAAATTCCTAATAACCTAGTTGATAATAGAAAACAAGAGTTTAGCTTATTATAGTTGCTGAGGAAACTAACCCACTCAAGCATTGCTCCTTTCTGACTAACTGTTTTCCCAAACTCTAGAGCTCTCATTCCAGTAATGAGCTCTATCAAGAGAATGCCAAATCCAAACACATCAGTTTTCTCCGAAGACTGGCCAGTTGAGAGGTACTCTGGTGCAATATGCCCAACAGTGCCACGTACAGCAGTGGTGACATGGGAATCAGCATGATCAAGGAGCTTTGCTAGGCCAAAGTCACCAACAATGGCTTCACAGTAATCATCCAGAAGAATATTAGCTGCCTTCACATCTCTGTGGATTATCTTTGGATCACATTGCTCATGTAGATACAGAAGCCCCCTCGCTGCTCCAATCGCAATCCTCTTCCTTGTATTCCAGTCTAGTGCAGGTTTTCCTGTCAAACCCAATTCATTTACATTAGCGTTATGCAAAATTACAGTCAAAAAATCATCTGCAAATTTAAAAAGAACATGTTTTCTTTTAAAACTTGTTTGGGTATTTTTGCAAAGCCAGAATATAATAGCCTGTCATTCCCAGCCTTAGACTACGGCCTATTCTGCTGATCCATTTTATTTTCCAAACCATGTTGAAGAAAACAATTAAATCATAGCAGCTATGAAACTCGAAAAGGATCATTTGGCAGACGTGTAAAACAGCTGAACTAGATGAAGAAAATGGGTCCTCACTCTTGGCATTTACAATTTCATATTCAGCCCAAGTGAAGCAAAACAAAAATATTGCAATAGCTTATTATTTATATGACTGGAAGAAATTACCAACATAAAAGTAGTATTAGCCTAAAAAATGAAGGAATGCCCTCCAAGATTTAGACTAACAAATAAAAGAAGTGTAAGTTGGAAACTAATTTGAAAAGAAAATAAACTAAAAAACAAGCAAAATAACTACTCCAAGCATGGTCCCAATCCGAATAGGCTAGACCTTAATCTTTGCCATTTCAACCAACTGTGGTCCATGGCAAGATTAGACATTGAAAGTGCATAATACAGTGGTTCTGCAGTTATTCAACAAACAAAATAGGAAATCAACTTGTCCCGCATGAGAAGTGAATGAAAGAAGTTTCAGCAAAGTAAAGCTAGTACCAACCTCTAAGCCTGGACGCCACACTGCCATTAGACATGTAAGGGTAGACAAGAAGTCTCTCGATAGAAGTAGCACAATATCCAATTAAACGAAGCAGATTACGGTGAACCGCCAAGCTGATCATCTCCAACTCAGTCCTAAATTGTGATTCCCCAAAACTTCCTGTCAAGTCTTTTAGCCGCTTCACTGCCACAAGAGTACCATCTCCTAACTTGCCCTTGTAGACATTGCCAAAACCTCCAGAGCCTAGTATGTTCTTGGAGCTGAAGTTGTCTGTAGCAAGCTGGAGTTCCCTGAAAGTGAAGTTTCTAAGGTTTCCTAGGCTTATGAGGCCCTGTTCTTGCTTGTCTGCAATAAAAGTATCACAATGTCAACTCACTTTAGATAATAAATATATAAAATAAACTTTTAACATTATCTTCTTGTTGTCACTGACCACTAATATTTAGAACTGTTAGCTTCTTCCGTTTCTTTTTATGCCAAAGTAGTGCAAATGTTAGGAGTACAAGAGAGGCAAAGCTGAGGCTGATTCCTAGTGCAATTGCCAACTTCTTGGATTGTTGTTCCCCTGATTCACAGGTTAAAAAAAGCAACATATATAAACCATTAATAAGGAGACGGAGATTAGTTGTAAAGAGTTACAAGGAGATTTGAAGAGAGTTACAACTTGATGAGCCCAGGGAAAGTGAAAGGGGAACTGCATTGGCTGATCCAGAGCAAAATTCAGTGGAACTGCTTCCACATATCAATGGATTTCCCACAATACTACAATCCATGTAACAATGGGCAAAATTAGAACTAACTGATTATAATAATTGATAAGAGAGTTGTAGCAAAGAAATCATACTTGAAAGTTCTGGCAGGAAATTTGGGCACAGGACCGCTCAGATTGTTATAAGACAAGTCCCTGAAACACCAATAATCAGATTTTGAAAATCCAAGTAGTGTACTGAAGAAAGACATCACAAGATAGACAAAGAAATAGAAAAAGAAAGAAATTCACTCACAAGAAAGCAAGCTGAGGGATTTTTGCTAAAGACGCAGGAAAAGGCCCAGACAAGCTATTGTTGTTCAGCCTCCTACTCTCATTACAAGACAAAACAACACAGTATCTAAGATGTCATAAACACAGTTATAAAACAATGATATCACAAACAGAACTTGCAATATAAAAGCATATGATTTAAATGTACATTGAAATTGTTACTACAATTTCGGACCCCTCCCTAAAGTCTTTTACAACTAATAATTGGTTAACATGACTAAACGAGAAAACATAGGACTCAAAGTTTGATTTCCATTTTATTTCACCTCTACTTTTTCTCAACATACAAACAGGAAACAAAGAGCTAATTATACAGTGAAAATACTTACAGGTATTGCAAGCTATTTAACTGTACAAATGACCCTGGAATTGCACCAGAAAATCGATTGTTAGATAGATCCAATGTCTGCAGTTTCGGAAGAGCCCCAAGCTTGGGTGGGATTTCACCAGATAAGTTATTGTTTTGCAGCAACCTTCAAATTCACAGCAGCAATTTAAAACATAAACCGGAATATCAGTATCAAAGAAACAAACATAAAAGACAAATTAAATTATGCTAATTCAGAGCATTCATTCTGAGAAACTTAAAACTTTGCTTAGAAAATGGCTTTTCTAAATGAAACCAAAAAAACAGGAAAACAAAAATCAGACAATAAAAACAAAATGTTTTGTCGTCTTACACTTGGTAGAGATTGGTGAGATTCCCTATCGTCCCAGACAAAGTTCCTGATAAAGACTGACTTGGAGCTCCCCTGGAAAAAAAAACAAAAAAAAAAAAAACATTTTAGCTTGTACAATGTTTTCAAAACAAGCAAACATTAAAAAACAGACAAAAAGAAAGGGGAGAAACAGTATTAAGAAGTAAAGAGAAACTGACAGGCCAATAACAAGATTTTCAGGAGAGCAAGTGATCATAGCCCAGCTACAAGGATCAACAGAGTCTTCATCCCAGTTGTTTAACACCCCATGTGGATCATTCAATTCTTTCCTTATACTTATCAATGCTTCCACTGTAATCGCACCAATAAACAAAACATAAAAGAAAAAAAATCAAACCCCAAAAGAAAAAGGAAAGACAATAACTTGAACACAAGCCAATGAATAAAAAAGTCGGCAGTTTGTTCATTTTACCTTCATGGTTACGAGGCTCATACGACAAAGAAACAGTAGCAGACGAAAGGATGAAGAAGAAGAGAAGAAAAAGACTCATTTTTAACACTCAATAATAGTAAAGGTAGTGAAAGAACAACATTTTTTATGGTTTTGGATTTTGGGTTTTAAGCCAAACCAAAAGAAAAGTTTATCTCTGCTGCCCAGCTTCCTTTCTTGGGTTCTTACCTGAGTCCCTCTTTTTCTGTCTCCACAACACACCTTTTGAAAGAAACAACACTTAATTATGTACTATACTTACAAATATATATAAACAAATAAGCAAAGTAAAGTCTAAAAGACTCAATTTTCTTTATTTTTTTTTTCTTCCTATAGAAAAAGAAAAATCAGGCGGGTTGACACTGAGTGTCAGGAATAGAGTTTGTATGGTTGTGTCTGCAGAAATTGAGAGAGACGTGAGTACTGTAAAATTTGTACTCAACTGGACTCCACTGCCTCTCCACTAACATGCACCTTTATTTTTTCCATAATTTTTTTCTTTTTTCTTACTAATTAGTAATTACTACTATTTTTTTTTTTAAATCCTTTCTTGCTATTAGAGGAAGGAAAAAACAGTGGTGGTGATGGTCTAGTTTTTGGTGCTTGTTTGAGTGAGTTGGGTCGTTACCAAGTTTTTTTATTTTTTTGTTTTTATTTTTAGTTTCTTTAAAAATTAACATGAAATATGCCTGCGTGCCTTCCTTCTTACCCTGTCCCTGCATGCAGGAATAAGAACAGAGACAACCATTACTTTCCCTTTTCGCTTTCACGGTGTAAAATTATTTAAAACATTTATTCATTAATAAACAGGAAAATTGTACATTTAAAAAAATTCGAAAAAAATTTAAAATATCTTGATCTTATTTCAAAAAATCAAGACTTGAGATAAATTATTCTATCTGCAAATTTAAAAAATAATAATAAACCCACCGATTTGATGAAACTTGAATATCAGACCCAAATCATTTAGAAATAATATCTGTAGTCAAGCATTTGCTTCATCATTTATGTATTCCCCCATTCGAGGAAGGTTTCAAAAGCTTCTACCAAAATGAAAAAGAAAAAAGAAATGTTTTTGTGGCATGGTAGAGTCCTTGTAGCTTTGACGGTAGATATGAAATCGCAACCCGCCCCGAAGCGTTTTGATTTAACCCCATTTTTTAGATTTGATTTTTCTTTTTTAATTAAATTTTAAGTCGATTGAGTCGAATAATATTAAAAATATATATATAATTAAATTGAAATTGAGTTTGTTTAAAATTTAATTTGATTTGATTTGATATATATATAATTATTTTTTAATTAATTATTTATTTATTTTTATATTTATATTTAAAAAATAATATTTTATTAATTTCAAATTAAATCGAATTTAATTTATATAATATCAAGTTGAATTAGATTTGAACATAAAAAAAATCTTTAAATATAATTTAAGTATTATAAATATAAAATCAAGTTAAATTTGAAGTAAATAAAAATCTATTCAAATATCACTAGTTATTATCTCTAGTTAATGACAGTTTAGTTTTTGTGAAGTACTAAAAATAGCTTTTTGAGGGGTATTTTTTGGATTTTTTTTTTATGGACGCTTTTTTTTTGGGCTATAGAAGAGCAAGCAAACATGCATGCCAATGTGCATGAATTGACGATTATCTAATCTGAAGATTGCTCAGACAGGTAAAGAAAACGACGAAAACAAAAAAGAAAGAACCAAACTTGGAATGTTTGCTTTTTCTTCTAGCCTGCTGTTGAAATTTCAAATTGGCAATGCCAGGTTGCTCCCCCTTCTTTTTTTTGGCTAGATGTAATGACGATTAGCTTATATCTTTTTTTTTTCGTTTGACAATTTGCTTATATCTTTCAAAACTTATTAAATTGATCTCCGAGACTCTGAGTAATCAGTTATTTATATAATATATATTATGTATTTCAATAGTAATTTTTATTTAATTCATTTTCTTTTAGGATTTGAAGTCCCTTGATCAATATTCGTTAATACATTTTCTTTTCGTATTGTTATTTTTTTACAAACAAGATAATAGCTTATAGATATGAAACGAAAGTAAGATATTAAAATTTGAATTTAAGTTTGTCCAATATCATTTTTTTTAAATAATTGTATAAATAAATTAGATTAATCTTCTAGTTCTTAGTATTACCATTTTCAAAACTTTTGTATTTGAAATTTGAAAAGATTTAAAATTATATAACTTCTCAAAATCAAAATAGAATAAAAAGATAAAATATTTTTAAATTACTATAAATTTTAATTTGTTTTGATCAGTAAATTTGATTTGCTCTACAATCTTTCTAATTAATTCAAAGTCATGCATTTTGTTATCTCCATTAGTTTAATTATAATATTTTATTATTAAGAACTTTATAAAATAAATAATAATTGTTTATCATTTCATGTTCATATATTTTTCGATCCTTTTTAAAAAAATTAAACAATAATTTGATTATATACGTCAAATTATTTTTAATTGTTATTTTAAAGTGTTTTTAATTATAATTTCTAAATTATTAATTTATTTATATTTAAATTTCGCAAATTTTAATGTCTCATCCATACACCTATGTAAATAACATATTTTCATGACATGTTAGATAATTTTTAAATTCGTGTCTTAATATATTTGTCAAATTCAAAAATCAAATTGAATAATTAGAAAGATCATATTTTAAGAAAAAAAAACTTAAATTTGCAACATGTAAAAGAAGATAGATATATATATATATATATTTAAGCAATACATAAATTATATTTAGGATTGCTAAACTTGAAGTTAAAATGTGATTTTTTTATAAATTTATAAATTTATTTTTTAAAATTTACATAAATATTTTATATAAAATTTTAATAATATAAAAATAAAATCACCATGCATGCATCACATCAAATCAAAGCTAATTAGCATGTATTACACGATGATGTTTGTTGAAAATTCGATAAACTTCTTCCAACTTCTTCTTCCCAAACTCCAATCCACAAATTCTGCGTGATCTGATACCTCTCTCACAGTTACTGTTCTTTTAATTTGTTCATAATTATTGTGAAAATAACAGATAGGCAAGTTTGTGAAGAAAATAAAAAAAATAAGTATCGCAAGTTATAATTATAATCAAACCATCTTTAATAAATACATTAAATATAATTATGGGATTTATATTTAATGCATTGATGAAGTTTGGTGAATGAAAAATAAATAGCTTTCAATTTCATTGAAGGAAAACATTAATTAAATAAAAGAAGCAACTTGCATAGTCGGTTGCTGTGATTTGGTGAATGAAAAAAATGCAGCCCGAAATTATGAGCCTACGCTAATTGATGGAGGAACTTAATTTGTGGCTAAAGGAAAATGAAATATAAGAGAGGAAACTATGGAGTAAATGGGAAGGGAAGGGGATGGAAGGCTTGGGATTAATTCGGGACATGTTTTAATAACCGGATTCGAGGTTTGAAATCAGTTGGGCTCTGGTTTTCGGCCATTCAACCTATTCAATTGGCTGATTCAATTAGAGTACTAATTACAGTTTAAATACATTATTTGTTATTAAATATGACAATTTCTTATAATTAATTGATTTTGATGTTTTTTAAAATAATTTTATTAATTTAATTATTAAAATTTTCACTAGTTGTACCCAATTTATTCCAATTTATTGGTTCAATCGTTATATTAAGCGTCTCTTTCATTAATATATTTTTGGATAGGGGTGAGAAAAATAGAAAAAATAAAAAATTGATTCAAAATTATAATATTTGGTTTGGTTTAAATTAATTTTTTATTTAATTTAAATTAAATTCAGATATTATATATATTAAGATTGGATCAATAGGTAAAAAATTTAAAAAAAAAAATTGAATCAAATTACATATTTTTAATAATTTTTATATAGTTTTAATAATTTTTATTTAAAAATAATAATTTTATATTAAAATTTATTAAATATATTAAAATTTTATATTAAAATAATATAAAAAATCAAAATTAAAATTAAAAATAACCAAAATCAAATTAATAAAATTTGATTTGATTCAAATCAAATTGAATCATATAAAAATTTGATTCATAATTTGATTTCAATGTAAATTAAATTTTAAAAATTAATAATATTATATAATATTTAAAAAATTCAAACCGATTTCAACACCGTTCAAACTATTATCATCCAACTTTTGAGTAGGTATAAAGACAACAACAAAGGGAAAGGGAATTGGGATTATGATTCTTTGGGAAGTTTCAGTATTTGTTTAAAATAATTGGGTGTCAGACTACCAAGTGGACAAGCCCATGTCATGCCATGCGGATAATGATGCTCTCGATATATCCTCCTCAGTTCCACGTAATTTGTGGGCGCATATTCTATATTTTTATTTTGTTTCATCTATATATCTTCAATTAGCATTTGCCTCATTGCTTAGCTCATTGGGATTCCATAGCTCAAAATACATTACCACCATTACCAACTTGGGCAAATTTTCTTTCTTTTTTGTTTTTTTTCAAGACGGATTTGAAGTTGACTCTTTGAGCAAGAAATGTAGGCATCTATTATTGTTGATCAACCAAATTCTCAAGTTTGGTTTTTTTGCTTTTTATTTTTAAAAATATTAAATAAACATAAATTTTATTCTTTGAGTACCACCCATTAGATTAAGGATCTTTTATGATATTTTCTTCAAAATCTTTTAGTTATCTATACACTCTTTAGTATACATTCTATGCGCTATTTGCATTTTTTTTCCCAAAGATACGACCATGCACTACTTATGAAAACCGTGAAATTTTTAACAAACGTAAATTTTTTTTTTTTAATTTTAATGGGTCATCATCAGATAACACTTTTCTATCTCTAAATTTCATTTTAACATACATTTCATGGCTCTCAGCCTCTCACTCAAAATCCATAGATTCAACTTTGATACTCTTTATATGGCTCCCATTAATAACTATCTATTCAAAATTATTAGAGCATCCCATCATAGCAAATTCAAGCAAGATTACCACAATCTAGTAAAAAAGAAACGCTTAAAACAAATAAAAATGAAGACGACCCAATTGAATAATTACAAAACCTCTCCCATCCAAACTTCTCTTTTTTTTTTTTCCCACAATTTGATTCATCCCTAGACACAAATAAAACAATAAAAAATTAGTAAAACAACCAAGCATTAAGATAAAGTGATTATGGACACCTTCAAAGGTGAAAAAAATTAAAAAAATAAAAAACTTTTGGATATTTCAAAAGT